CGGACCCAGCTGTTCCTCCTCTTCCTCATCAGCCACCTCCAGACCTGTTGACTCTCCATCTGAGGGCTGACGGATGGCCCAGGCTCCACCTCTCTCTCTCTCTCTCTCTCTCTCTGCCAGCTCCATTTCCTCTTCCCCCTCGGAGCTTCCAGGTTGCCCTGATGCTGATTTGGCTGCATCTCGTGGATGGGGCTTTGCTTGTTTGTGCAGCCCGGTTTCTGACATGCCACGCAGCACTGCAGGTCCGTGGACTGGGGGCGGGGGACTCCTGACCTACAACCAGTCCTCACATTTACAGATGTCTGCAGAAACCCCACAGTCACGGGATCAAAATCCAGGTGCTTGCCACCCGAATGTAGTTACAATGGTTGCAGCATCCCGGGGTCATGTAATGGCCACTTGCAACCTTCATAGTCAGCTTCTGAAAGCAAAAGTCAATGCAGGGGACTGGATTTGCTTAACGATCACGTGACATAGAGCACGTGGTGGTGCAGTGGTTAGAATGAGTACTGCAGGCCAACTCACTGCTCACTCCGGGAATTTGATTCTGAGTGGCTAAGGTTGACTCAGCCTTCTGTCCTTCTGAGGTCAGTAAAAATGAGGACCGGGATTGTTGGGGGCAATAGGCCGACTTTGTAAACGGCTTAGAGAGGGCTGTAAAGCACCATGAAGCTGTATATAAGTCTATGTGCTATTGTTATTGCGATTCACTTAATAACTACAGTGATTCACTGAACAATAGTGGCAAAAAAGGTCGTAAAATTGGGTGTGACTCACTTAACAACTGCAGTGGTTAATAATGGAAATTCTGGCCCCAATTGTGGCCGTAAGTCAAGGAATACCTGTAAATACACATTTATAGACACCTGGAATAAACAGATACAGAAATAGACAATCCTCCTCAAAGCACAGAGAAGTGGCAACAGAAAGGCTAACCATAGATCCCATGACATTGTTCAATTTTGATCATGACAGAGTTGGTGAGTGTAACTTTTCACCCACAGTTTGGTGCAGGGAATCCAGTATACAGATAGTCCTCAAATTACAACCATTCATTTAATGACTGTTCGAAGTTACAACAGTGCTGAAAAAGTGTGTTATGGCCATTTTTCACACTTAACGACCAGTGTCCTGAAGTGATGTGATCCTCTTTTGTGACCAAGCAAAGTCGATGGGGAAGCCAGATTCCCTTAACAACCGTGTTACTAACTTAATTTCAGCGATTCACTTAGCAGTGGCAAGAAAGATCGTAAAATGGGGGCAAGACTCACTTAACAGCTGCCTTGCCTAGCAACAGGAATTTCAGTTCAATTGTGGTTGTAAATTGAGGACTACCTGTATGAGCATAACCCTACATTATTCATTCAGGATTGTCAACAAATATAGTCCTTTTAGAATTCATCTGCTTGGACATGTGATGACCCAAAGGCAACACAGTCAGATAATCAGTAGGAGCCCCTTTATTAGCTCCAACTTTGCCTCCAGTGTCCTGGTTACCTTCTGGCTGGAGAAAAACTCTCCCAGGAACAGCCTTTGGCTGAAGAGACTCAAGTCCAAAAAGTGGTCAACCAAAACTGTAACTATAAGTCCAATCAAGGCAAAATGAGGTAATTAGTCCAGCAGGGCAGGAATAATAAGTCCAGATGTGAAGGCACAGCAATAACTCAACATGGTTGGGAAGACGCCAGGAACATAGATAAGCAAAGTCAACACAAGATAAACTCACGTTTGCTCCCAACAGCTGCCACACTCAGCATGCATTTCTTTTAAACTCTCTTTCCAGCTGTGGCTAATGAAGGGAATCAGGGCCCTTTCCCCATAAGCCACGCAACCCACGTTGCTCTTCTCCATTCCTCCCTGCATGCCCTAAGATGAAGAGGGCCTGGGCCTGGGTCTTTCTCTGAACTCCCTCTCCCTTGTTCTACCTCTTCCCTGCTCTGCCCAGCTGGACTTTGTCCTTCCCCGGTTTCCTCCACAGCTAACGGAGCCACACTCCCACTCCCTATCAGCTGTTCATCTTCCTCCTCGGATTCAGATTCTGACAGGGCCATGACAGGACGCTACCTAAGTTAGGAAATGGCTGGGCTAGTTTTTGCTTGAAACTCCAATGAACTTGAAAATCCCGTGAAAACCCCCTGTTTCTCCAAGGAATTGATGATTTTTGAACTGCTTTTTCTCTATGAAAATGTTTCTTGTGATATTCAGCCCAAACAAACCCTGATGCAACTGTAGTCCTTTGAAGTAGAAGAGGACAAATAATTGTCTCTCATCAAATCAATCACAAACACTATTATGACCGAAGGGTAGCAAATAAATAATTCTTCCTGACAGTCTTCAGACATTTGAAGAGTTGTGCCACATTTCCCACTCACAGAATCTGTGGCCAAATTGCCATCATTCTGATGGTACGCACGGTGCGCTGTTTCTGGCTTTATTCAAGGAAACCCCAGGAATGAAGCCAAACCCAGTTTTAATCAGCAGAAGAAAATTCCACATTCATATTACAGTATCAGGACTTGTTTTATTTCGTGGTCCATGACGGTACTGGCATATTTTTTAAATGTATGTATTTATTCAATTTATTTGGGTGTCTACCTCAAACGTCAACTCTAGGCAACGAACAATCAGAAAATCAATTAAAACCAAATGGCAAAGGCAAACAGAAAAGAAAATTAAGTATATATAGCAGCCAAGAAACCTCTAATCAGTAGATGTTAATATAATCAGGAAATATGGCCCTGAACACATTTAGACCCTCTGGTATTATCATTTAAAAAAGAGGAACTTTAAAAAATGAAATAGGACCTAAGTGGAAAATAAGCGCTAATGCATCTTTTGGAGCAAAAATGAATATAAGACCCGGTCTTATTTTCGAGGAAACATGGTAATGCATAGCTAGACACAAAAAGACTGTCACAAAATGAAGGCCATGCTGGTTTTTCAGCAAAACCATCGTAAAATGCTGTACCATGATCACAGTGTCAACCTTGAAGCTGACCTGACCGAAGCCATTTTGAGGCTTTGGTGTTGCCACACTGAAGCTGAGGGATAAGGTGGAGGGGATAGAGATAGCTGGGGTTTTGTAGCCAAAACAAAGTATTTTCTCCTGGGAACCAAGGACGTTCTCACTGTGGCTGGAGAAAGGAGGATTAACGTTACCAGGCAACCGGATGGCCCCTTGATTGGACTATGTGAATGACTGTTTGGGAAAGGGGAGGAATTTTAATTTTAATGAAATGGAAACTGGGGGAACATTTAGAGTCAGTTTGTCCCAGCCATTGCCAATAGGATATGTCTAATTAAAACTAATATTTGAGAACCTTGCTTGTCTTGGAGTCCAGTTTGCTAAAGGCGTATTTCTTAGAAACCTGATACAGGGGACTCTGCAAATGGCCAGAAATGCTGCCATTTTGCCAAGCACCCAAAATTTGGTCAGAACTTTGAATCCAGAGGCTTTTCTTTTGGGTTTAATGGAAAAAAGACTTGGTGGGGGGGAAAATGGAACTTTGATGTTATATATGTTGACGGCAGCAAGACTACTCTATGCACAAAAATGGAAGGACATTTTGATCTCCCCAATGGACGAATGGCTGCAAAGCTTGATAGAGTTAGCAGAGATGGTTAAATTGACTGCTCTGATCAAAGAAGAAGAAGAAAAAGACACAAATA